AGATATTGGCACAGGCCTTAGAAACCTTTGCTAATATTTATAATTCATTCTCTTTACTTAAGTTTAATCACCCCTCTTCCAACATCATATGCTTATAGTGATTCCCAGTGAAACCCACTATCCAGAATTGCTGTAATAGTATTTTACTTTTTGATTATTTGAATTTTTAATTATTAATGAAGATTTCTTACTTGTGAGAAAAACAAAGTGAAAGAGTCTTTGTTATTTTAGCTCTAGAAAGCTTTATACAAGTACAGAAAACCATCCTTTTAAATTTCTTTTATTATCTTTTTATACACTTTTTTCTTTGATCTTTACTTTTCCACAACTTCTTCATATTATTATTCTTTTAGATAAATACAATTTCTGTAGAAATTGGTATAGATCTTAGATATCTCTTCTTTATCTTTTAATATTTTTATCAATCTATCATTCTCTTCCAATCCAGGTTCAAGTTTGTAAGCTAATTTAATGATTAGTTAACAAACTTATAACAATATTATATAAAATAACTCAGTTAGCTAGAACAAATAATTTTAGCTTGTCTTTTCTTTTCTTCTTTTTATTTTTTAATTCAATCAGATTTGACTTAACTACTTACTCAATAATCTGATCTGTTTTTTCTTTTATCTAATTAGATTAATCTAACTGAACACTTTTTCATCTTTTAACTAAATATTTGTAAATCATAAATAATAATGAATTTATAACTTTTGTCACATCTGTTAAGAATCTTGCAGTAGCTTGAAGAGTGATAGTGAGAGCTTGAATTTTAATGAAAAAAATATTGACATATTTGTTCCAATATTATTTGTTTCTGGATTTAGACTTGAATTATTTTTAATTGACTTTGATGAAATTGATGTTTGTTGTTATAGTATTTGGATTATAGGTTATTTATTGATTTTGTTATTCATTGATCCAGCAATTATTTATAGAATAATTATTTTAATAATATTATTGTATCAATAATACTATTATATATATTCAGGCTGATCACATCAGTAGCAGGTCCATCTATTTCAGTAATTTAGTAAATTTTGTGTTTGATTATATGTTCTGGATAGGTAAGCCAGCTTTAATTATTCTTGTTCAAGTCTTCCAGATAGATCTTGAAGAGTGTTGAAATCATTAGCTGATGTTGCTTTTTTTGATGATAAGCTTTAGTTGGCTTCTTTAAATCACCTCTTTTATAAGTTCATGTTTTATAGCTGGATAATTGACCTTGCCGTAAGTTCAAACTTTCATTATGAACTGGTGTTTGAAGTCATGATTGTCATGATGTTGATTTGTCCACTCATTTAGATGGAGATTGTTGTTGGCATGTCTTTGGTCAAACCAAGTAGCAGCAGTTCCCTCGAGATAGCCATGTACGATCTGAACTTTTCGTTTGTTAGTCATTCCATTTGCTCAAGCGGCTGAAAAACAATGAGAAGATGCTGAAAATGATGCGGGAAATGGCATAATTCCGTGTTGCATACGTACTAAAAAGGGAGCTTGTTTTTTTATTAGCATTCGTCATGCTGAAAAATCCACAAACTGCATTTGTTGACATTCATGACAAAATTTGCTGCTGTTTTGATGAATAATTTACAGCAGCAGCATTGTTGACAATTGTGGTGGAAATTAGCTGCTGAAGATTGGGAAACCTGCGGCATTATTGACAATCGTGATGGGAATTGCTGCAATCGTTGCTGTAAACTACCAATTTTGAAAATCAGCAACGCTACACATACATTAATCTGCGTCAGTGACATCCACGGCTCGTTTTCATCATTTGTTCCCGAAAGCCGTAATCAAGAAAGTTTGTTCGCCGGCGATAACAACATGTATCTCCGCCACGCAAGACAATGCTTCAAATGATCACATGCCGGTATTTACGTCAATTTCAATGTTATTTAAAGCCTTGAGGAACGCATTCCACTTGGTGTATTTGCACAGAATGTATTTGGAGCACATAAAACTGATGCACAAGTTACCACCACATCTCGAGCTATTTAAATACATGCATTATCATTATCGAAAATACGAATGAAGATAGAGTGAAAATAATTAATGAGGTTGTCTTCATTTTTTCGTTGTTATAAATCGATTAGCGAAAATTTTACATATACTTTATGATTAATATTTATCCGAAAAAATTTTCAACAGAACGATAATTTTCACTAATTAAAATATACAGTCAACGTCGATATAACGGATTTGGTCTATAACTGACTATTTTTCGGAACCAGCTATTACATAAATTTTGTCTTATATATCGGATCTGTCGATTTACCAGACAGCATGGCAGGAACGGAGGGGTCCGTTATATCGACATTGACTGTGTAATTAACAGAAAACAATAACAATTGAGTGAAAATCATTGATTGTAGAGAATCATAAATTGAGTTGATTTGTAATTGTTACTGTTGTCCTAGCAACAATAATTCCCTAAGTTTATCCATAATTTTTATATGACTACGTATCCATGTATTAAACATTATTTTGACATTACACGTGTTAATTTGATATTAGTTTGACATTTATTATACACCTCTTTATGAAATTCGACATTAAATTAAACTTGTACAAGATTCTTTGCTTTGTAATTCTAGAAATTTTGATATTGATTTGAAAAAGAACCCAAATCTTGCGTACAAGTAGTAGATGACCTCTACTATAAATAAGCCACATTTTGATTTTAATTGATTGATTTTGCTGTTTTAATTGTTGACCTTGTCAATAAGTTCCACGAACTAACGTCATCGATTGATTTTGATATTATCGTTATTAAATTTGGGCAATCTTGATAGGGTGCATAAATCTTTTAATAAATGTGATATCATTTGGTGGTATATTCAATATTCCTTTGCCTGGATATCTCATATTGAATCCAGCATCAGTTTCATGTGCTCTTTCAGATATTTTTCCTTTTCTAAGTCATCAAACGTTTGTATTTTATAAAATGGATCAACTTCTTTACTAAGAAGTAAATACAAAATTTAATCCGTGAATATGATAGAATAGGCCTTTTCTGAACATATTCACGGATTAAATTTTGTATTTACTTCTTAGTAAAGAAGTTTATACGGTTTATAAAATACAAACGTTTGATGACTTTAGATTTTATGCACACATAAAGTGACCAATTCATTTTTCTAGCATTCAAATTGATCAAAATCAAGTATTATAATAACGACGGTACATGTCTTAGGTTGCTAGTGGGTTTCAAATTTGGGTGATTGGTAAATGAACGAAATTGCCTTCACAATGAACTTTTCATGAAATTAGCCAGTAATATGAAAAGCCATGTTCTGACACTAATTAAAACAATATGTTTAACTCAATTTGTTCTTTTTAAAATGAATTCAAATAAATTTAAATAATAATTCAAAATGATAAATAATTATTAAGATTCTATTGAGAATTTTATAAATATAGTAAATTTATCTATTAATCTTTTTTAATTATATTATTTTATTATTTTAACATAAAAAAATACATTTAATTGATAATTAGTTATACAATTACACCTCAAAAAATTCAATTCTACAATTGTATTTTCAAAACTTTTGCTATATAATTAACTAATATATAGTAAAAATATATTATAAATAAAACCAAATACAGCTTTATCTAATATTTAATATTTATTAATAATAAAAAACCAAAATTAGGATAACTATATATATTTACTCAAAGTTTACAAATTATCAAAAATATTGACTGTTCTATCTGCACACAGATAAACCGATCGGTTTATCGTGATTTTAATTATATAGTTTCTAATTTATTGAGAGTCCGACTTATCAAAATTCACTGTAGTATATAGAACGCCTAATTATTTTATATTGAAATCGATTATTTGTAGTGTGTGAATTTTTTGCAAATTCTTTATCACTAATGTACCAAATTTTTTGGAGCATGAGGTAACTTTTTTTTTTAGATACCATTAAATATATTATTCACGTACACGAAAATTATTTTAAAAAAATTGTTTATTTTTATACATATATACTATATAATAAAATCTAATTTAATTTTCAAATATTTTTGAGTTGAACTTCAGAATCTCGTCGTAATATCTAAGGTGATGTCTATTAAATAAATACATTATAAAAATTTTCTTTATTATAATTGGATATCTTATGCTGTCCATTACTGTATCAGGTGTCCTCTATGCATGACGAGGTACAATAGTACATATTCATATCGAGGAACAACTGCATTAAGTTAAGTTCGCTAATAAAAGAACTTATTTTTAATGCGATTCCGTGATCTTTGTATTTCTTTACCTGATTGATTGTCAATGGAGCTTCAATTTGTTGAATTCCAACATCCAAATTCGAATCATTTATAGCTTCCAAAATGATTTCTAAATGCTCGTCCGAAATATACGAATGCGGGAATTCCAAAGATTTAAAATGTATTCCTTTTGACCCATGCAAAAATATTTTAAGAGAATTCGCAGAAAATTTTAACTCTCCTTCGATTGAAAGAGTTTCCAATCTTTTGGGTAAATTTTTACCCAGTTCGTCAATAAGCTTGTCACCTTCACTAAATAGTGATTTGAACTCTTTCGAATCATCTAAATCTTTGACACAGTCGATTCTTAGATGTTTTAAGTTTGCGAAAGAGCTAAAGTACGATAATAATTGAGAAAATTCTGAACACACTGGTAGAATAATTTCGAGGGTGGAAAGATTAGGGCAAGTTTTTGATGCTGATTCTAGAAGTTCTGTACTATCAGTAAAGGAGAGCTTTAAAGAACGTAATTGTTCTAACGATGCTTTGGAATTCGGTATTTGGAATAGATTATAATTGAAGTTGCAACTGTTGCCTGTTGTAACTTTCGTAGCCTCAAATTCTATTTCAAAGAAAGTATTTGCTGTACATTCAATCAAACTATGGCAAATCGTTTTAAATGTTTCAAAGAGACTTTCCGATCTACTATTTTTTCGCGATTCTTGTTGATTGTGAAAACGTTTTGATTTTGACCGATTAAAGCAAATTGCTTTGAATTTTTCAAGGAGACTTTCCAGTGGATCATTTTTTCGCAATGCTTTTTGATCGTAATAGCGCTTGAATTTTGACCAATTAAAAATTGCTATTGACAAAGATTCCAAAGATAACTGTTTGATGAAGATATTATATTGAAATATTGTTCTTGACTCTTCATTATTGGCAAAACAATTTAATAACGTCGAAATAAATACTGCGCTAGCTTTTTCTGAGGTCAAAGGAAACGGTCGGCCCCATAATAATGGAATTGCTGTATTACACCAATGACGGTTCACTAATGCAAAATGAAAAAGTTGTCGTCTGTTATAATTAAGTTTTTTGCTATTGCATTTTTCTTCTTCTGATACGTAAAAGTATTTGAATATTTCGTAGAGACATAATCTCGCAAGTGTAGATGCCATTTTGTTGCTTGGAAAATTTTAACCGATTTACATTATATTTCTTATTGTATTTTTTTAAAGAAAAATCAGTTTAAACGAATCTCACGTGTAAAGTTATATGTACATGTATTATGTAATGCAATTAAAAGTGGTCCGTAGTAGTAGTACAAGATCCGCAAATAGATATAAAATAATGAACCGATATTATGGTAACGCGATACAATTCTAGGCGTAATCTAACGTTAATACTGAAGCGTGTTCCATTGGTTCGTAAAATCACTTGGCACATTGTTCTTCATTGAGTTGCGCCGTAATGGAACATGGACCCAAGTTCATTGAGTCTATTGGTACAGTATAATCAAGTCCATTGACACTGCGTTATTATTGCTATTATTGTTGTTATTATTAGTAGTAGTTTTGCTTCGCGAATAATAGTGTGGTTTATGTGTTTTTGATAGGATACATCAATAATGACTAATTGAAAATACAATCGCATGCAACAAAGCCAGACAAAGTGGAAATTACGTTACAAACCAATTTCAGGCACGCTCTGAAAATTAAAAGCTTCAAGATTTCAGTAAAGATGTGAAAATAATTGGAAAACCATATTCGCAGTTTTTGATGATGGCTTGCCCAAAGTTTAATCTACAATCACTCAGTTCTTCACGCCGTAAAAACGTTCGTTTATTTTTCTCGCTTGCACCACAATTTTTAATTGCTCCATATAAAAAAGTCACATAACAAATCCCAAAGTATAAATTCAATAAGTGTTTAACCTTTGTGGTCAGTTCAATGTAATAAAAGTGAATTCCAAAGACTGAAGCTCCTAGGTATCCAGCCCAGTTAATTTAGTTAGATGAAACTAATAACCCTTTTCTGCTCTTTCTGAATTTGGAAATAAACGAGAAAGTTTTTAAAAATACAATTGATTGGACAGACTCGCATTTCGACCTTTGTTCTCCAAAATTTTTTTGGGTATTACTGTATATGCACGCAAAACTATGGAAATATAATCGTAAATAGAAAGTTATTCCAGAAATGAATAATCAAATTTCATTTGCAAGTTGAAATGTACCAAGACGCAGCAACTTCCGACTGCCGATCCTACAAACTGACTTTGGCTATACGAGCTATACGCGGTGGCTTCTCTGCCAAGCGGTTCCGATAAGTTTTCTTTGAAAATAAATTTGAGCACTGCTGTTAAATAAATGCAGCTGGTCGTTGAATTTTTTGGTTAATTCCTCGTAACGGTTTCGTCGGTCTTTGGTTTCCTGAAAAGTTGGTGAATATCTTAAAGTCATACAAGCACATAATCTTGTTAGAGTTAGTTTTATCATTATCATCCTGCAATTAATTTTCTTATTTTAAGATACTTTAGTCGATGTTACAATAAGCACAAACTTTCTTTATAATTCGAGATGGCAACTACATCAAATGGAAAATATTTTTTTCAGTACGAGAAAAACACCTGTAATTTTTTTATGATAACCAATCTATATATAATGTTATATCTTTGGCCGTATTGTTACCTATTCAAATACCTCGTAGGATTCAATTTATTGAAACGTGAGAATAAGTCAAACAAATTAATTCACGAATCCAAAATTGTTAGATAATTAAAAATATAGCAGTTATATTAATCCGTTAAATTAATCCATTATAATATATCATTTTATAGCACGCTGTAATCCATATCTTGAAAAAATATTACCTTTTAAATATAATTATTCTGTTCAATCCTTCGTTGAATTGCCCAGTATAGAGACTGAAGAAAATAAAGCAATTTGTGTAAAACGCTTTATTGATATCAAATTAAAGGAAGAAGCAGAAAGTTGGTTGACCTCATTCCAAGGAAAGACAAAAACGACAATGCGAATCACAAAAAATTTTTGCCCTAAGCAGAATCACTAAAATACAGATCAGTTAGTCAGTGAAAAAACTAAAAAAATTATTTATAACTATTTCATTTAGAACATAGTGCAAGTTCAGCTTGATATGCTTATGAAAATAACTTGTATTTAAGTGTTATCACAAATAAGAAACTTGTTTTTCTGCTTGCTGATTATATAGTAAATTCTGATTATCTATATATTGCTAATTTACATTACAAGTTTGAAATTGATGAACAAAGAAAATAAGCACTTATTTTATGCATCATAATAGGCTTGATAAAAAAATTCATGAAAAAATCACACAAACAGAAAAATTATGTTACTTTAATACTTTAGCTAGTTTTGATTTACTCGACACTCTATTAATATTCTATATACAAGTTATATTATAGAAGTGTTATCTCTTGTTATCTTTTTGATATCAAATAAATAAAAGTTATTATTGAATATGTTCTCAATATGTTAAAAACAATTTTGCCATCAAACATCTTTTTTGAATATTATTATACAAGAATTTTTTATATAACTTTTAAAAAGATAGAATTTAATTATAAAATTATTATTAGTATTCTAACTAATTTATAATTTAATCCAGAATATATATTTCGAATTAGGTCAAATTGGAATCAAACTAATTCAAAATATTATTTCATATTCAATATTAATTAGAATTAAATAAAAATTTGTGGGTATATATAAAATTATATTTTGAATAATTCTACTTAGACACAAAATACAAGTATCTTAATAAATTAAAAATTTTTAATAAAAAACTATTTTATAATTTTTGGATTAAATCTGATTTAAATCTGATCTGATCCAAAATTATCAATTTAAATTAATCTCAAATCTGATCTGACTATTATATTAAAACTCAAATAGTATTTATATATATATTACAAATACCAATTTGATAATAGTATCTATAATTAAAATTTCTTTATAATTATACTTATTTATAGTTATACTATTCTATAATTATTTTATTTTGCTTTTTTGAGAATAGTAATTATAAAGAAATTTAATTATATTTAGAGAATAAATAATCTATTAAAAATAAATAAATAAAATATCAGAAAAAAGATAAAATATCAGAAAAAATAAAATATTGAATAAAAAGATAAAATATTTAAATAAAAAAGATAAAATATCTAAATAAAAAATAAAAAGAATAAAATAACTAAATAAAAAAATAAAAAAATTTAATAAATTATTTTTTATTATTATACTTATTTTATATTATTTTTAAATTATTTTTGTTTTTTAATTATTTTTGGATTTTTATAACTTTTTATAAATTAAAAAAATTATGTTAATATTATAATATTAAATTCTTTTTTTAAGATTTTGCTTCATAAATTTCTAATAAAATTTTAATATTTATTAATTTTCTTGTAAATTAATTTATATATTTTGATAAAGTATAAAATTAAAGCTAATTTTTAGTTTTAAATATTTTGAAAATTCTTTAAACAATTTTATATAATTATTTATAAAAGTTTTTTAATTTTTAGTATATAATTTTTTTATATTATTAAAATATTGAAAATAATTTCAAATAAGTAATTATAAAATAGTTTTTAAATTTTAAAATAATATTGTATACATCTTATTTATATTTTTTCCAATTTAATTTATTATTTAAACTTTGTTGAGATTACTAATTACTTATATATATTAAATTAATATAGATAATTATAAAATTATTTAAATTAATCTATTTTATTATTTATTTTTGTATTTTTTGAAATTTAGAAATTATTTAAAAAATTGATATCTTATATTAAAAAACAAAATTCTTATTTAATAAAAAATTAAATAATAACAAAAAATATTTAAAGTTGACATTTATATAAAATATACAAATAAATTATTTAATATTATAATTTATATAAAAATATTATAACATTATTAATATTTATTAATATATAAAAAATAATAAAATATAATATTAATAATAAAGTTTTTATATTATTTTCCAGATTATTTCTCTTTATTATTTATTAAATATATTTTTATATTAATTTTTTGAAAAAACAAGTTATTAAATTCTTGTTTTTTTTATAATATTTTTTAATATTTATTATTTACTTTTTTATTAACTTATTAATATATTAAAATTCTTATAAAAATTATTATTATTTAGTTTTAATTTATATAAAATTAATATATTATTAAATATATTTTTATATTTTTCAATTTATTTGTATTTGTTTTTTATTTAGTATTATTTTGAAAATTTATTGAGTTAATATTTTTTTAATTAAATATTAAAAATTAATCATTTGAACTAAAATATTTTTAAAAATTCTAAATATTTTAGATTTTGCATTAATATATAAGATTTAATTATTAAAAATATTTTAAATTTTAATTAGAAATTTTTGCAAATTATTTAATACTAAATATTTTAGCTCAAATTATTATTTAAAGTATTTAATAATTAATAATTTATCTTTGTCAAAAGTAATAATTAAATAATTATATTATTATACTATTTCTAGAAATATAAATAAAAATTAATTATAACTTTTTTAATAATTAAATATTTATAAAGAAAATATTAATTTTAAAATATATTAAACAAAAACAAATTTATTTATCTATATAATATAATATTTTTTATTTTGAATTTAATTATATTATTAATTTAGTTTAATTTTTCTAAATAATTATTATTATAATAAAAATTAGTTAACAAAATATAAATATATTAATCAAATATATTTGTTAAATTTTTTATAATATATTTTAAAACTTGTTAATAACTTTTATAATTATTATTGTGCAAGTTAAAATATTATTAATATAAAAAGTGTGTAACAAGTTTTTAATCTTTTTATTATACTAATTTATTTACAAAGATTCTACAATCTCTAAAATTTTGTGAATAACAAAATCAATATATTTTTTAATTTAGAAATATATTTTTTGAAAGTTAAATAAAAAAATAAATTGAATCAGTATTAGTTCTTAAAATTTAAACAAATCAATAAAACTAAATTTTTAGTGAGCTTTTGAAATTTTTATTACTATATTAGTTTTTTCTTTCTATTTATTGATTAATAGCATATTTGAAATATTAATAATAGAGCTAAATATTCATTATTCACAACTATATTTTAATGA